AGTGAACAGGAACCCACGGACGCTCTCACGGCCCACTTATCAACCTCGTTCCTGACGTCGAGCTCAAACGCATCGACGGTCAGTTCGTGCCAGCGAGAGAAGTCGTTCGCGCACAAGAGGGACGAGGGAAACGACACCTGGACCTTGGGCGAGTCCAAGATATTACTCAGCTTCAAGATCACAGACAGATAGCGGAAGTCCTCAGTGGGATGGAAGTAGAGAGTCACCCTCGACTTGCTCCCCGTCGTGATGAACCTCGACCTGTTTGGAGGGACAACGACGTCGGCGTCGCAGGTCCCCCTCTTGGCCCGAGGAGGAGCAGCAGTCCTCGCTCGCTCGCCCTCATCACTGAGTGTCGACACCTCTGTGATGCTGATGTGCATTACGAAAGTCTCTTGTTCCGTCTCGTTAATCAGGGAGGGTCGCGCTACAGTGTCAGGTTTGCTTGGTGCGCGGTAGCGGGCGGGGACGTGCTCATGAGCCTTCTGACCACCAAACAAGTAACTCCAAGTAACAAGCAAAACAATGTTGTGGATTTGTCTCATGTTGTCGACCGATAGCAATGAACCGCATGGAAGTTGGCATTGGTCTCTTAATAACAGTACTGGCGGAAGCAAAATGGTCATCTATCCATAGAAGTAATGAAACACTCACTAAATCAGTTCGCACATCACATTTTAAATCAATCGGTACTATCACCTTGTAAATATCTCCAATTTCTTTATGGCTCTTATCCACCACTTAATTAAACCAGAGTACCAGCAGCACCGAAAGAAAGGGAAATAAACAGGAAACAGGCACCCGTCGGTGTTCCTTTTCCCCCCCACAGCGAACAGAAAGTCTTCGGCGACGACTGAGATCCGGCCAATTCGGGGCACAGCAGCAAGGACACTAACACGGAAGTCCTTACGTCAATGAGAGTGCGCACGCGTGAGCTCCAGTTAGAGTGTGCCAAGACGTAAACAGTGTATCGTAATTTTTAACTTTGTTCTTGCATGAAACAAAAACAGGTTGAGTGGTGTGTGTATTATCTTTCTTTTCCCAGTTATAGACTATTTACTTTGGTAAGGGAGTTAGTGCTTTGATTAGGGGCATTTATTTGTAATGATAACGTGATTTAGATACGCTGTCAAGAGTGCAGTCCATCTGACACAGGCATGCACACAGCTCCTATCCACTTATCATTTGGCATTCCCTCACGTTCTTCTTAATCCCATTCATTCAAGACATTTTCCGTTACCCTAATGACCAAATTCGAAATTTGATTTGAAATTCGTGCACCGTAATCTTTGCCTCCAGAGTCGAGTCGCCATAAGCGTTTGTCGATCAAAGAATATTTCAATCCCGACGTCAATTGCCTGCAGAGCGATCGCCTGACACGACGCAGTTTCGTCCGTAACAGGATAACGGATACTCCACGCCCACGCTCCGCCCACACCCGTGCTGCGCTCCTCCCCCTCCCCTCCCCTCCACGACCGCAGTAATCACTTTAAAGCAGGCTCGTTTTACAGTACGACAGAATTAACTCATTTTCAGGATCATTTACCCTGTTGAGTGTGTTCTGTACTCAGGCACTTTAAACAACAAGAAGTGAATAAGAGAAGAGAACGAGTTATTTATAGCTCACATTCTTAAGACGAGGGTGATATAAAACCCTATGAATGAGAATGAGATTTTCGCTGTCTCGACCTCGGAGATTTAGCATATAGTGAATTTCAATATTTACGATTGTTATATCTTGCATACAACGCATCTATACAATGTATGTCTCTTTTATATCCCTTATCTGTCTCCATGTATCTGCCTGCCAATTTGCACGTCAGTTTCTATCTGTCCATGTTGCTATCTGTCAAGCAAGCGTTAGAATATAAACAAATAAAATAGCAATCATCTGTATATACATATAGATAAGTGTGTTAAGCGTAAAAGCCTAAGTCATTGAGATGTAACCCTAAAGGGCATGACAGATTTGAAAGATTGATATTCCTAGCTTGAAAAGATATCACTTGTATGGTAATATAGGGCATGTATACAGGACATGGGGTATTCGTCATGAATGGATTGCGTATTCGTTTAACTGAGAGAAGAAATGTAGGTAAATTCTGTTGCTTCTGTATTCTGTATTTCTTTTACGTATATTCTCCGTAAATTTCCTGTTGTTTATCAAAAACGTGCAGGATTATGAGAGTCTTGCCGCTTCTAGTCACGCACGAATATAATAGCATTTAACAACTATCAATCATTGATAACGAGTCATGAGGTATATTATATGATCATGAATAAACCCAGTCCTGAAAATGGTATAAGACATACAGTTATGCTAAAATGTAAAAAAAAAAAAAAATGTATGTAATATAATTTTTAAAAAATAACAAAGAAAACCCCGGGGACTCTAAGTCTTCGTAGAAACAGCACATGGTCTTTCCCACGACATTTACACATCCTATGCTTGACGAAGTGCCATGAATCAGTGCAAGAGTGCCAGAAACAGCGGTAGAGG